ATACATACATACATACATACATACATACATACATACATACATACATACATACATACATACATACAGGCACACCACATTTATGGATTATATATAGTAAGGATATATTTATTTGTTTACTTATTTATTTATTTATTTGTTCATTTATATATCAATGAGGAAAATTGACGAAGTCTCCAATGCAAAACTCCGTCGAGCAGTAGAAACATAGGCGAAAGATTTCAGACAAACAAGCCGACATCAGATGGTAGTGACGAAAGCATGTAGCAGGACGACAGTACGCCTCCCCTTCAGTAGGCAAACATTTACCCGAGAGAGTCGTCCCTCAGTCCAGAATGTGATTAATCAGATGCAACCCGCAGCTTGGTGTGGGCACTTAACGCGAGAAGGAAGAGTTAGATCGCGACCTCTGGCGGACATACAAGGGGATTCAGGCAAAGGAGCCGCCATCCCTCCAGTTCCCCACGCACGTCTACAGCTCGAATGCGGGTGGCAAGTCAGTCAGGATAATTTCATGTATGGCTTAAGAACCCGGGACCTTGCATTAGAGCACATTATGATATACCAAAAAATGGAGAAAAACAGAAGTACAGTTGTTATATCAGCCAAAATCAATTAAAGCCGGACACGCCTACAAGTTTTCCATTTCACCCTGCCACCAAATTGAGGTGGTAGACAACAGGCACCACGACCAAAGGCAAAAAACCTCCAACGAAGCAACTCTAACCAACTCGTTAACAAGGTGCGAACCGTTCAAAAGACAATGAGCATTAGACTAGCGAAAAGCTCGTAGAAAGCTGCATATCCAATTTCGATACAATTCAGGTGCTAGCGCATCGAATGATCTCCGAAGGGTATAACGTGTGGATAACATGCGATTCAAGGTGTTGTGAAACCACACCGCCGAAGTTCCCATATGACCTCAGGAATACTGTTACTGAGATGGATCAACGTCAATTTAAAAATTAACAGACAATTGGTTATCCACGATGGGAATCAAAAATGTAGCTCACAATTATTTTGAAATACCCTTTTCATATAAATAGAAGAGTGCACCAGGCAAAGAAAGGGCCCGTAGAAAGAAATTTCTCAAAAGCCGGTTGAATCAAAGACTCACGAGATTGTGACCACCCAAAGCTTGATCGAGACTACGTGCAATTGCGTGGAGCTCTGGGGTGTGCGAACTTTGGCACGCAACTAATTAGCATCTCCTCGCACCTAGATGCGAAGTGACCGGAGACTCCGAGGTAATTATGCTACCTGCATGTCGCTACTAATCGAGTAAAAACTTATCAACTATCAACACAGTTGAAAGTTGATGAGAAGATCGGCACTGAAAAAAGTGGTGCTTCTTTAGGAAATAAGCTTTTCTCTGAAAGGACACACATCGACACACATGACACACACATCGACACTTATACAGCGACACACGCACCGATACAACGCTTGAAATGCTATTTGCAAATTTAAAAATCAAAGATTAATGAGTTTGCTAAAAAAGTTATGAGTGCTCAAAGTTTGCTTGCTCAACGCGTGGAGAGGTAGTGCCAAATGAAATACGCAGTTGCCCGCAACAGCTGTAAGGGTCACAGTGGCGTAGTGGCAGTGCACCCCATCACCAAGCCAACGAAGAGGGTTTGCTACCTGCCATCGTCCCCATCTCTGCGAGACGTGTTTTCTTTCGAATGAAGACTCTTAAACTATTTCACTGCAATCACCGTACATGTTTAAGGCACAGTTCACGATAATTTAGGTAATCCGGATCAGGACGAAAAATGGAAGAAAAAATTGAAAGTAGTGCGATGAAGGCGAAGAAAGTGCGCGAATCGGTAATTTCAAAGTGAAAAAAGGCTCCGCAAAATTGTTAAAAAGGGACCGGACGAGAATGAGACCAGAAAAATGAAGAAGAATGGGGCGTTTGGACGAGCTATAACATGTGTCATTGCGTCCTTGTGGGTCCTGGTGCGAAAAGCTAGCTACGGCAAGCGAAAATTTATTCAATCACAAGCATAAGTTGACAAGCCCACCCTTTTCAGCCTCCTGAGGTAGAAAATTGGAATAATGATTGCAGCAGCAAAAAGAATAACCGAGAGGTAAAAAATAGAGAAAAACGTCGCCTCATCGCAGGGCGTTCAGCTGATTGTGTGTGGGTTCTAGAACGAATATTGCAATCTGTGAGAAGTCCGTGTCATCCGGTAGCGGGGCTCCCACTATGCCCTATCTATTGAGCTCTGAGATTCGAAACTTTTCCCTGTTACTCTTGGGGGTCACTGGGTGTCCCTAGGGGGAGGACTTAGAAACCATTTTTATCGTGAACTATGCCTTCAAAAGGTTCCTCCACGTTGTTTCTGTAACGCTCTTTTATTTTCAACATTGAAACACACCCGTTGAAAACTGTCTTGGAACACAGATACTTGAGAAAAGTTCAACTCGGATGAAACATCCAAAGAATGTGTGGTTGTACAGATACAGCATGAATAAGATCCTCGTTTCGTGAACAACATTTCTCCTTCACTCATTCCTTGGATTGATTCACCAATATTGATGTTTTCACGCGTATCTGTTTCGAGTGATGTGGGTTTGCTCCTCGCACTCATTCCGATTTTTGCAAAGCGTGCCTTCTTACCAATAAAAGCCTTTGTAGAATTTCCTGATATACCTATACTGAAGATATCTATAACATTTTCAATATTTTTTCCTCGTCTTGGCTTTCGTTGACGCTGGTTGTTC